GAGGTTTATCCGAGGACTTGCGAGAAACACCTCGAACCTTCTTGAAATTGGGATCCATCTAGTGGCAAGAATAGAAATGAAAGTCGCTACAAGCCTATAACACAGCGGAACTTCGAAACTGCAGAATACCTCGTCATCAATGACGCTTGGCATGTGTCACACCACTATGGCGCCATTCTTCTAATTCCAGATTGCAAATTTCGGTACAACCTATAGGGGGGGTCTCTCTACCGTTGTTGAAGGGATGCGTTTCATCGCTGGCCTAATAGTGGACTTATCAGTAAGGCTACCTAGCTGGGCCTGCCTTAGACGTGGATACTATTGAAAGATCGGGAAGTGATATAAATAGCAAGCTGAGGTTTATCCGAGGACTTGCGAGAAACACCTCGAACCTTCTTGAAATTGGGATCCATCTAGTGACGTTGTACTATGATAAGGTAACAAATAGAAGGACGCGAGGATGGGATGCATTTCGTCCTGGGCCTGTTAGCGGACTCGTCAGTAAGGCCCTACCTAAGACGGGGGATACTTAGACAGCATAAGAACTTGTATATATGGGAAGCGGAGGATTCACCGAGTACTTGCGAGAAAGTCCCCGAACCTGCTTCTATAATTCTCAGAAGTGTATCAAGGTTGCACTCGCGATTTTTCTTCGAAACCGTTCATCTACTCGCGACTTCCCTTGCGAGGGGGTCGTACCATCGATCCGACGTCCGGTGCGAACCGCCCTTTCGCTCCTACCCTCGGCCACTTTTTCCCTGCCACGTTTTAACCGTCGACGAGCGATTAATTCGATATTAGCAGTTTACAAGCCGCGTTTTCGCCGCTCGCTCGCTCGCATCCCCCGAGCCCGATATCAGATAGCCGCTGCAGCTCTCGATAACAGAATTTTATAAGCGTGCTTTCCAGGCCGTGTGCTATTTAAAATTTTAATGTCGGCGAAGGAGAGGCGAAAGCAAGGCACGGGACGTTCTAGCTGCCTCGGGCAGCCAGCAGATTTTAATCTCGCCGTTGTAATAAGAAATAAACCGAAGCAACCTAGTGGACTCGCTAAATACCAGCGGCGTTGTTGAAACATTCGTGAGCGTCACGCGATGCAGAATGCGAAACAGAAAGAATCTCGACGCAATTACGGGGTTTAGCCGCGGTACGTCGAATTATCGAGCTTAACCCCTTAACGCGGCAGATTTATTTCCGACGCACCACTGTGTCGCGTTTACGTACTCGCAATGGGTCAAACGCCCCCGACGTCGTTGCAAACGCGTTCGACAAACATTCCGGCAACATTCATCTTTCGTTGGAACTGCGTGTTCAGTTCGGAGGGGGAAAAAAAGTTGCGTTCGCGATCCGCGGAGGGGGGAGAGAGGGGCGGGAAAGTTGAGTGAAATTGTTGAAAGTAACCGGTTTTTGAACGTCGATGTGTGATTTTCACAGATGCCGAAAATTAATCGCGAATCGCGTCATATAATTATGCGACTTTCGAGAATTTTTCAAATTAAATTACTCGCGTCTTTCTTTTTTCGAATTTTCCCGCGCGCTGAAGGAAAGCTCGGTTTGAACGTTGGACGAACAGAAAGGATATCTGACTCGTTCACTCGTCGCTTCACCGAGAGATTGGAATCGCGAGGAAAGCCCTTCGTATCGATTAATCGCAATCAAGCAGCAGTCGCACGCATTCTGCAAAGCCAGAAACTATGGCGCTAAATCAAAATGGCCGACTTACTGTACCGCAGTCGAGCATTTCGCGATATCATTGTTCACTTACCTGGCATGTTTCGGGCCAAGACTGGGATCGTACATAGAACTGGCCGATATATCTTCATCGGGGATTTCGCCATTCTCCATGCCCAGTGCCGCGGTACATTGTCCTGAAAGGATTCGAAACGGCGTTAGAGGCAGAACTCGATATCTGTCCGTGCTTTGTCAACCCCCGGGCTTTAAATCGAGCGGAGTGCGACGGATTAGCCGTGCGAAAATTAAACGTTAACGAACGGGGATGAAACGGACGGCAATTTTCACCTCGCATCTCTGCGTAGACTAACCTTCCACGAATAATCGCTCGTTTGCACCCGTTTTCCCGTGCATTTCGATTTCTCGCGTGGCAATTAAAACTTCGCCGATCGCGAGCAAAATGTTTTCTATCGTCGCACCGATTTTAATAAATCGCGCAAATCTGTTTCGCGTGCTTGAGTTTACGCGAACACAGGAATTTCGAATTCTTTTCCAACAAAAGACCATGGCGCCACCGCGAAATGTACAACCCTGTACTCGCGATGGCCACGGTTCCTGCACGGAATCCTCGAGAACGGAAGTCGTGGTCGGTACGAGACTTCCCTTTTGCCTGTTCTACACACGAGGAACCCAATCGACGTCCTGCCGACGAACTACGATCGAACTTCCCACGCCGTTCTTCACCCCCGTTCACCCCTCGTCCTCGTAAAAGTTCGACGCTTGACCACGCGAAACGAAAGAAACGAAAACATCGCTAACGATAAAACAGGACCATAACCAGCCACAAACATTTCTACAACTAATTTCGCGGTTACGACGAAGCGTTATACGTTCTTTTGAAAAACAACCCCATCCTCTCCGCGGAAGAATTACGCGACCCCTAGAGGATAAGTGGCTGGTGGATAAATGGCGCGGTGAAATGCAAGAGATTCGTACAACTATGCGGATAACCAACTATAATATATTGTACGATCCATAGTGATGCGTGAAATACGGTACTAAGTAGGCTGTGAGGGGTTTTTCCCCACGGTTGTTGAAGGGATACGTTTCATCTCGGGCCTGATAGTGGACTCATCAGCAAGGCTACCTAGCAGGTCCTGACTTAGATGTGGATACTATTAGAAGACCGAGAAGTTATATATATAGGAAGCATAGGTTTATCCGCAAGAAAGTCCTCGAACCTCCTTGAAATTGGCATCCATCTAGTAGCGAGGGTGAGAATGACAGTCGCTAGCAAACCTATATATAATACATCACGGGAACTTTTGAAACTGCGGAATGCAATTGGACGTTGGACATCAACTAACACACCCTTAGCAATTTACCTCGTCATCGATGACGCTCACCAGGTGTCACTCTGCTACTACGTCGCCATTTTTCCAATTTCAGATCGCAAATTTCGGTACATCCTGCAGGTGGGTGGTTCTCCTACGGTTGTTGAAAGGACGCGTTTCATCCCTGACCTAATAGTGGACTCATCAGTAAGGCTACCTAGCCAGACCCTGCCTTAGACGTGGATACTATTCCAAGATCGGGAAGTCGTATACATAGCAAGCGGAGGTTTATCCGAGGACTTGCGAGAAACACCTCGAACCTTCTTGAAATTGGGATCCATCTAGTGGCAAGAATAGAAATGAAAGTCGCTACAAGCCTATAACACAGCGGAACTTCGAAACTGCAGAATACCTCGTCATCAATGACGCTTGGCATGTGTCACACCACTATGGCGCCATTTTTCTAATTCCAGATTGCAAATTTCGGTACAACCTATAGGGGGGGTCTCTCTACCGTTGTTGAAAGGACGCGTTTCATCCCTGGCCTAATAGTGGACTCATCAGTAAGGCTACCTAGCTGGGCCTGCCTTAGACGTGGATACTATTGAAAGATCGGGAAGTCATATAAATAGCAAGCTGAGGTTTATCCGAGGACTTGCGAGAAAGTCCTCGAACCTCCTTGAAATTGGGATCCATCTAGTGGCAAGAATAAGAATGAAAGTCGCTGCAAGCCTATATACACCGTGGGAACTTTCGAAATTACGGAATGCAGTGGATGTTAGATATCAACTAGCACCCTTAGCTATTTACCTCGTCATCGATGACGTTCGCCTGGTGTCACCATTATGTCATCGTTTTCCCAATTTCGGATCAGAAGTTTCAACGAAGATCAGCAACGAGTCTTCGTCTCTTTCCCGTGTACAACTACTCGAACGCGTCGACGTGCTCTCGTGGGACCTCCACCAACCCGAAATTCCGAGCGACTGCGCGTCTCGAGCTGTTGATTTTTCCAAGGACAAAGCGGGCCAAGTTGACAACGTCGAGAAGAAAGTTGTTGTTCCGCGGACAACTCGGCGAACGTTGAAGCGAGAAAATGTAGGTCGCTGGAAAGTCTGGCTGGGGTTGATATTCCACCGACTGCGATTGTCATGCGTACCGGTAATACGGTTAGTTCCCGTACACGTCGGTGTTACTAGGATGAAACTTCTCGCTTGCTTCTTACTTCGCCCAATTCTACGAACTCGCTTGCGTCACCGTCCCGTTTTCGTGTATATCGTCTTATACGCGGAGAGAATAGACCGGTTTTCCGACTTGGCGCGCGAATCACGGTTTCGTGTAAGACAATGGCGAACTTGTTCCCCTTAAAGCGCGTATCGCGCAATTTCCGATTGTTCCCTTAATACGCTCTACTTCTCGCTGATAGAAAACCCTCGTTTCACGATTAAAACGTTGCCCAATAATCGCGATTCCCATAAAATTACGCGATCGAATAGAGGGCACGCGAGTGCACCGCACCCAACCTAACCTAAGTGAACTAAACCGCGCATTGCCGGGTTAAAATTGAGAGTTTCGAATTTTGCTGGACTCGGTGAGTCGTGTCGCGTCTGGGAAAATTACGGGACAAGAGGAAGAGCAAAAGCGAGGGTAGACAGAGCCATCCGGACGATTAAATAGCGCCTAGCTGGGACGCGAGTCGATATCGCGAAGCAGTTAACAGGAGTACGTGACTCGTTCACCGAGCTCTGTTTAGGACAATTTCGAGGGAGATTGTTTGCAGTTCCTCACGTTCAACAATCATTCCCAAAACACAATCAGAACGAACTCCTTTCGATAAACGCTTAGCATCGAGCAGGAACAATAAACCAACAGTGCTCGCTAACGTAGCCTGTCAACTTAAAATCCTGCCCGAACTAATAATTGCTTTTACGTTAATTCGAATTCACCTTTGTCAGACCTAGTTCGACTAACTATTCCCCTGTCGGCTACACGGATGAATCGCATTGACAAATCGACCAGAGCCCGACCTCCCTGCGAGCTGCCACTTTTACCGAATCTCCTCACCGCCTAGGACGAGATAATACGTCTCCGGTTCCGTCGTCGAAGGGAACCAGACGGTCGAACGAAAATTAAAACGCGGGAGAAGAACGGCGAAACTAGCCCGGGCTGGTGTACGCGGTAAATTAACTTCACGGCGTAACACGCTTCACAGAGAGAAGTTGCCGGCGCGGCGCATCGGCGGGCACGCGTTGCAAACTCTAAGTACACTGACATAATTGCTCACTGGAATAAAACATTTGCCGTGCGACACGCTCGCCATTGTTCCACCGGCTTGCCAATATGCACGCCCGTCTACGCTCCGCGCAAACTGTACTTTGTCAGATAGGCACGGCCTAGTTCTCTTTGCAATTCAATCCTTGGAACTGTCGCCATCCTGGCGGCGGCGTAAACTTCGATCGCGCTCCCCAGCATACCGACCGCGCCTCTTTATGCAGCATCCATTACTGGGGCAAACTGTCTACCCCGAGATCAGCCCTGCTGTAATTATCGAACTCGCGACGAGTGCAGACGCCGGTTTTCGCGCAGGTGTGCCTAAAAATTGCCAAACAACCGGCAGCCTCGCGCTGTCAACTGACTAGGGTGTTTGTTCTCGCGCGAAACGGCGCAACGATCTGTCAGCGGCACGAACGGGGGTGGTGGCGAAGATCGGGTTAGGGTACTCGCTGCGACACCCCGATTCCCTGTAAACTTCGCATAGCTGCAGACGAGCGAATGCACGTTCCTTGTTCTCGCCATCTCGGGGGTTGCAAAGGTTGGCTCTCATTCGGAATCTCGCTCGATCGGTACACGGGGTGCTCCAAGCGACTGTCATTTGCACGAGATACGCGTTTCGTTTCTATGACACCGAAGATGAAGTACGGAGCACACGCGGATAATTCAGAGAGCTTCCTTTGCAAGCTCGTACGAGACGATTCGTCGATGAAGCTGCTTAATCGCGGAAACCGCGGTGACAAAGGGACAAACCGATCCCGGAATCGGTATTCAGAGTAGAGGTTTCTTTCAACCACGATCCGTGAAGTTTTACAAAAGGGATCTCGCGTCGTTGAAACCCGCTTTGCGACCGATCCGTGGACGAAGGCGTCGCGAAATTATTATCGCGAGATTCGAGGGGGCACCTGGACGAAGTCATGTGGGATTGTTGGGTGGCAGCAAGACCATGGTGGTAAATAATTAATACGATTTATCGGGAACTAACTTATTCTGAGCTGACGACTTGCACACTGACTACCTCTCGAAGAACTGTTTCGTTTCATCCCCTTGCACCCTTATTTAAATCTTGCACTATCTGTCTTCTGGCATGCTCATGCTCTCTCAATCATGCGTTTCTCACGCACTTTTCACAGCCTTGCCCTCGGTGGGTTATGTATCATAAATACTCACAGGGAGAGTGCAAGTCCTTCGAGTCATCGATTTAGTTGAAACTGTGCAGGTTTGTAGATTTAGTCATCCAGTTATAGAAAATGTACCATCATAAGAGCAACTATTCAATAGTTTCTGAGATATTTATGCATAAAGCTTTATTATTGTTAGCTACCGATTTCTTCCGAATAGTTATCTATATTCATGAGGTGCTAACGATCTGAAGGACTTGCACTCTCCTTGTCAAACGCATTTCACTCTTCATTTGCCTTCGATACTGCAATAAACTCTCACAAAAGGTACTGTCACAGGCGATGACCTTATGCCCTAAGCACGTCGTGTTCACCATACCACAGTAATAGGTCAAGCTGATGTTCTCATAGCGTGATGTTCTCATGATCGAGATCGAGATCGAGATGGAGAGTCCGTTTGGTTCGACGACGGGT